TTCTGGTGGTCTGTGCCAGATAGGGAGTTGCAGGTATTTTGGGATGTTGGGCCCTGTAGTATTAGAAAGCTGCAGGCCCCTGGATCTGTTGGCATGTCAGGGGTCTCTGGATCTGCAGTCTCACGTCTCAGCACATAGAGCCCTGAGTCTTTGGATCTTGATCTTTCTACACAAGTCCTTGTAATTCTCTTTCATGAAAATAAAGTGTTCGGTAAAATGTGTGCTAACTTTTCACAAGTCTCTTACTGGAGCATGTTTAATACTGTACCTGAAGGATCTCATGCTGGCCTGTGGATTTCCATATGTCTAAATGTGTTGCTTTTACTCAGATGACATTGTCCTGGGTGTGTGTAGGTGGGGGGCGTCTCCGACTGTAGTGTGTGACTTGTGACTGTTGGGCTGGGGGGGAGGAGTCTGCCGTGTGTGACTTCTGCCTGTTGGAGAGGGATCCTTAGATGTTTGGTGCTGTGGGGCAGGGGGAGGATCTTCTGCGGTGTGTGACTATGGGGGGGAGGGGGGATTCTGCAGTGTGTGACTATTGGGGAGAGGATCCTCTGCAGTGTGTGACTATGGGGGATTCTCTGCAGTCTTTGACTTGTAGTTATTGAAGAGGGATCTCTGTAATGGATGACTTAAAGGCTATTATTTGGGGGAGAGAGAGACTCAAGCTCTGCAGTCTGTGACTTGTAGTTGGTGGACATGGCATTACAAGCCCAAACCTGGTTGCAATTTTACACACACACTTATGTATAATATCAAGGAGCTCGGGACCAGAGTATGGTCTTCTTTGTTTCAATATAAGAGTAGTCCTTTATAGCAGTGAGTATAGCCCACTGCCCCATACACTAATCGAGACCTAGTGCTAAGAGTCCACCTCTTGCTGAGTCCTTTCCTGACACGGTAAATCAAGACCCAAAGCTAGCACTCAAACAACCAGTGTTCCTGGACTGCTAGTCATGCTTGCTAGCTCCAGGCCAAAAAGTGCCCTGAGTGGATGGTTTTCAATCAGCACTCTGGTAAAGGGTTGACTGCATATTTCCTATATGGTCACAAGTTTAAGGAAGGCTGACTACCTTCTTGGCTCTCCCGGGTGCCAGCATCCAGATGGGAGTACAAGTTAATCCTGAGCACAAGGAAAGGGGGTTCTGGAGTGGCTTTTGCCTGTGGTTGAGGTCACACGTCTTCAAATTTTATTGATTTATTATTTATTGATTTTGATTGGCGCTTAGGTTCTGTTTCAGTTGCCAATCAAACTTGCTTACAATCCGTTAGCAAAATCTAACCCATGGAAAAGCAAATAGCAGCTATAATGGGCAGAGAAGATCAAAATGGGTGTAGCCAGGTATTGATATCCAGCACACTGTGGGGGTGTAATTATTACAAGACGTGCTACATAAGGAAAACCAAAACCAGAAAAACTGACCTTTTTCCTAACCCTCTAACTTGGGGAGTTGAATCTGCATAGTATATATGCGCACACATTTGGAATCTAAATATTAAGGCCCCGAACTTGTCCTGTTCTGTGACTAATTGAAAATAGGGCATTAATGAAAAGCATTTGATGTGCACTAGAGTTTAACAGATCATTTATTTAGGTCTGAGCAATTAGCCAGATTCTAGCTGTGTAACTAACCTGTTTTCCAGGTTGTGGTAGTATATAAAGTAATAGATTTTCTAGGAAATTACTGGGTATTTAAAAATAAAAAAAATTCCCCCTAGTTGAGATATATATCTCTATATCAGCATTCCTGGGCTTTGCAAGAAAGTATTCTTTATTCCACACGATAAGATCAACGTTTCTGCTCCATTACGGAGCTTTCATCAGGACACTTTTTGACATACATATATATCTCTCTCAAAGTTTCTTGCACTGCAGGCTTCAATAGCAGCTTAGCTTATATGCTGGGTGGTGGATCCAGGTCATATGTATACAGGAAATTCAAAAGATGGTCCGCACTCCCAGGCTCTGTTTAAAATATAACTTTTATTCTAACGTCAAAAGTAAAAAAAAAAAAATGTAAGTTTTTGCTTTGTTTTTTAACCATCTGACACCACAAAATGTCCAATTTTTCTGCATTTCTTTAGTGGAATAGGTAGGCTCATTCTAGGAGTGAGGTGATGGTACTACAGGCTTCCTTGGTGGGCCACGTTTTGCCTTCTTGGCTTACAGATTAGGGTTTGGTTCATGGAATCCACACTTGCAGTGGTGTTTGGCTTGGCTAGACATCTCCCTATGTACTATGCATGCATAGGTAGTACTTTTCACTGCAGATTGTGAAAACTCTCTGTGCGCATGCCATGTGATCTCAGAGCTTGGTGCCAAAGGCCAACAGAAACTACCTGGTTGCATGACGCTCAACATATCTCACCAGCTTTCCAACTCATGCTTTGGTTTTCAAAAAGCACAATAAAAAAAATCTTAATGGCAAAACAAGTATAAATATAATCAACAGACTACTACATATTCACAATATGCAATTAGAGTAAGTCAACAACACACAACTAAAGATCGAATAAACATTGATTATAAATGTAATACACAAAGACAAAAATAAGAGGCAAGTTGGACACGAACTGAGGAGAGAGAAAATGGTCTGGAAGTGAACCAGGTAAGAAAATCTGGAGAGTACCCACAGAACAAAATACAAGCAATTTTCTAATGGTTTGACTGCTTACCGGGGCACAGTTATGACACTATCCATGAGGACCTGTGCCCATCAAGTCCAAGTTAAGTAGCTTTCTGAGCTGAGCCCTGCATTATCTCATGAAATGTGCACAGGAGTAGAAACAAAAAAAGTATCTTCTGAGTAACTGTCTGAATACCATACAAAAGATTCTTCTGCTGAATTTTCATTTGTCTTATACTTGAAATTATCACTATACACAATTTGTATTGCAGCCATATAATCCGAGAAGGAAAATATTGGGAGGTATACATTTACTCTCTTCATGGCAGCAGTACAACTGGGTAAAATACAAGCCAAAAACAGGTGGGAAAATAAGGCCATAAAAGTAAAGACTGCTTAATTTATTTAGTTACGGCAAAATGGGGTAATACTAGGGAATGGAAAGCACTGCTACTTTCACCTTTTGTAGGCCCCTGGTCTCCACATTGATTAGTTTGCTATGACAACCATGCTCAGAGAGCCATCTTCCTGAAGATGACCCCAGAAGTACAGTTTTGAGTGTTAAAAGAATACCTGTGGGGATATTTATGGGATGATAATTTTAAGCAATCGAGAATTGCCCACTATTTCAATTCTCTTAGATCTTAGAGATCGTTATCAAATAAGTGAAAAGTATTCCATCACTAATTCACAATTTGTTATAAAAATAGATTTATTTTTATTGTAACAAATTAACTAATATGTAACATGCGTGACAATAATCAGCTAGTATTTAGTATGATATAGTATGCAATACAATGGAATGGCTAAACACGTTTCAATGGCTAAACAGCATTTTCTGTCAAGACTTACATGATTTATGAGGGTATCCTTACAGACAAAAAGTGAAGCTTTTCACAGCAAAGAGCCATAAAACCCTGGCTAACAGATCAACTGAATAACCCTTTCAATGCTGGCTAGATCCTTCTAGGCATATAGTATCCTATTCTCCTGTGATTTTTAATTAAAATAACATTTGAACCACCTCATTAATCATTTGGAACCATCCAATAAGAATAATCTACCAGATTTTTACAAAAGCAGAATTTTAATTTGTCTAAAAAGATATCTTATCTTATTTTAGAGCAAATCAATACACCTGGATAAAAACAGCGGTATGCTAACACGTGATACTATCACATTAATAGATAATTATTCTTAATTCCACTGCAGAATGGAATGTTTATAACTATATATTCTTTAGTTAACTAAAATTTCTAATATGGAAATCTGACTGTGATTTATCCAGTCATATATCATGCTATTAGTAATTTTTAATTAATTAAAATTAAATGAAACCAGCATAATTACCAGTTATGTAGATATTCTCATCAGATGAGTAGGTAGTCCCAGAAACTTGATTGGTTGTATGGAGGTTCATGAGTGATATAAAAAGTATTAAAGAGTTTATGTCCAAGAGAGTTTAATGGTAGAGTGTTAGTCCCAGATATTGTCCTGGATTTCTCTGCATGTCCGAGTTGGAGTTCCCCAAACTTCAATTCATCTCTCTGTCTCCAACCACCTTGTCTTCCTTTTGTCCTAACTTTTAAAGGGCCAGACTCTCTGTACGTCATTAGTTGATAAACCAATAGGCAGCCGTAGGTGTGTCCAATCGATGGATCGCAATTTAGGTATTTGATCCATAGATGGCAGTCTTGTCTAACGAAACCTTCTTATCCAGGAATGAGTTAACTTTTCCTGATGACGATTTTGACATCATTTGCCTTATCTAAAATGACTACCATAACTTAGATTTGCTGTCAGTTCAAAGCGTTTGTTCCAGTCTTTGTGGCAACTACTTTGGTCGTAACTTGTAAAATTGACAGTTCTAAACTCAATTTCACCCCTTACTATAATGGTACCTTGTAAAATGTAGAAATTAAAATGAATTACTTAGTCTTCTCTGTCACTAGTGTCTGTGTTTAGATAATGCATCTATTCCATTTACATTTTAGACAGAGCGTTCCATCCCCCTTGCTTCATTGCTTATCTTGGTTTGTTTATATAATACATTCCTCAGCTCAAGCAAGTGGCTAGTTACAGAAGTAAGAAGAAATCAAGGAAATTATGTGTTTTTGTTATCCTGAAGATAGCAAAAATGGAGTCTGCTGGTGTCTTTTGAGTGGCTGTAAGTAAATATACCTTAAATCATTCTTTATTTATCGGTTTTGTGTTTGTATTGGTAATCAAGGGAAGGGGTACAGAAGATAAGGGGGGGGGGGGTATGACAGTTCCATTCAGTCAGGTTTGTACCAACGCAGGGTACATATTGATGTATTGATAAAATAGAAAGGTGAACAGCGCTAAAAATCTGAAAATGTAGTTATGCTGAAAGCTGTGAAATACGGTTGCAGAGTTGTGCAGTGTCAGTATGTGTTACGGTGCGTAACGGCGGGTGTTTCGTGTTACTGACAGCTGGAGCAGGACAGCTCGCAGTTGGGATGGGATTTTAGCTGCCTGGCGAGCTGGAGGGACGCTGGGTGTATAGTGGGGCCATGCTGCTGGCGAAAAGTGTTGAAGGTCATTGGCGGTGAGTCGCGACGGGGCCAAACAGTTGTGAAAGGGATGATCTCTGGGCTGTTGAAGGGTCTACCCGCTTAAGTTGAGTAGCTGTGGTGGAAGGGCCGTAGTGGGACCTGTGCAGCAGTAGCTGGAGTAGTGGTCAAAGGAAGTGGCTGGAAAATATGTTGGCGAGCTTTTGGTCAAAGTAATACGGGCCAGTGAAACCAGTCTCTGCAGTCTGTGTTTCACGCAGCAGCCAAGCTTTCTCGAAAGCTTCGGCGAAACGCGTCAAGTGAGGAAGAATTTTGGACTTTTATACAGGACTGGTTTTATAGTTTATTATTCACTTTTCACTTATTGTATTAAAGTATATATATTTTTTAAACTATCCAGCCACTCCTTTTGTCCTCCTTCCTATCCAATACTGCTTTGCTGCTATACCTGGGTCCACTATATCCCAAGGTGGGGATTATTCCACCTGAAATTCTTCAAACTAGAGCAGGTCGTTGCTCTAGTATATGTAAGTAGGATCATCCACTTTTTTTTCACAATATTTTATATTTACGTACTATACCATGTGGTGTATTTTACTCTTGTTTTTCATGTAACGAATATTTACACCTATAAATTCACCAACGGCCTTGAACCTCAAGAAATCCATAGACGGGGATTATTCCGTCCAGGCTCTTAACACCGAGCTGATATAGCTCCTCAAAGTGTGAGTGTGAATATAACACCTTTGTTCTTGTGGAATTATATCGTTCATACATACTGTACCATTATTTGTATTTTTGTTTCTCTTTTTTTTTTAAGCTACTCTGCTGGCCAGTATTTCTACAAAACGTATGTACATTTTCTGATTTTTAGCGCTGTTCACCTTTCTATTTTATCTGTCCATTTATCACAAGGTAGAGGAACACCTTGTTGGTGAACTGCTGCTCACCCCTGAGAAGAAAGCGCTTATTATTCTTTTGCATTACATATTGATGTATTGTAGTACATTGGCAAGCATTTTAAGTTAGACAATACTGGCTATCGGTTCTTAAACCTGTGTTGACGTGTAATCTAGTACCTTGTCGAAGTGGTGGGGACGGGGACGAGAGTCCGTGTAGGTCGACAGTGCGGCTGGGGTGGGGGTGTATTGACCCGTCGGCTTAGCCGGTACGTCCCGGTCTACTATATGAGTCCGAGTCGGCAGTGGCAAGTTAGTTGTCGGGTCCATCACCCTGTCGAGCTTTAAGGGGCCACGGTTAGTGTTTGTTGTGGTCCAGCTATTTAACCCCGTCCGTGGGTCCCGTCTTTCAGGTTCGTCTCTGCAATCGTTCGTGAGGTGGTCGTCCCAGCATTTCCCCTGTTCCCAGGTGAGTGGTGCTTCTGGTTATGTCGTGAGTGGTTGGGTTGGTGGGGTAGGCCATTAGGTTGGTGGTGGCGTGGGCGGCCTGATTATAGTGGGCTGGGTTGGAGGTTAGGGGCGCAGCCTATGGACCGCCCGGAGCGCGGCATCCCCAAGATTGGGGCCGGGGCTCAGCGGTGGCAGGCGCAAGAGTCATGGTAGGATGTGTTCAGTGAATAGTAGCGTGTGAGCGGCTTGGTCGTTTGGTGTGTTCTCGGCTGGTGTTCTGTTTGTGCGGTCGGTTACCAGGGGATGGAGGTGTCTCCCTCTAGCCATGGGTCCCACACTTTGTGAAATTGTTTGGGGGTGTCTCGGAGTTGTGCTGTCAGTTTATCCATCTGGGAGCTCTATGTGATTTTTCTTGTTATCATTTCTTGTGTCGGGATGCGGGTCGTAGACCAGAGTTCTGCTATTGCTCTGCGAATGGCTAGCGCTATGCGGGCTATCAGTTTGTTTTCTGATCTCGTGAAAGGATCTATGGGCTTGGATAGCAACAGGGCCCAAGGGTCGGCCGGGCACGGTTTGTGTAATAATTTGGCGATTAAGTGGGTGGCGCTTTGCCACAGCGGTCGGAGCTTCGGGCACGTCCACCAGCAGTGAAGGAACGTCCCCGTCTCTCCGCATAGCTTCCAGCATGTGTTGGATGGCGTCTGGTGCATGGAAGCCAGTCGTTGTGGTGTGAGGTACCACCGAAAGAGCATTTTATATGCCTGCTCGGTGTGCGTGACACATATGGAGACAGAGGCTGTTGCCTCCCAGATGTCCGCCCAGTCTGTCGTTTCGGTTGGTGGGCCCAGGTCTGTTTATGGTTGGCGAGCCAGATTAGGTCTATGGCTCTTCGGGTGTTGTCCGCCGCCTGTCTATGGGGTATAAAACCCACCTGATCGGGGTGTATGAGCGATTCCAGGTACGGGTTTAGTCTGTTCGCCATGACCTTGGTCATGAGTTTAAGATCGACATTAAGTAGGGAAATCGGCCTATAGTGGGCAGGTTCGAGCTGGTCCTTTCCGGGTTTGGGGAGGAGGCAAATGTGAGCCCTTGTCATGTCTGGCGGGAGGGTTTCCCCCCTTAATGTGGCGTTGAAAACCCTGCATAGGTGGGGAAGTAGGATGGAGCTGAATTCTTTGTAGTATAAGGCAGAGTAGCCATCGGGGCCCGGGCTCTTGTTTGGCTTGAAAGTTCCGAGAGCTATTGCCATCTCTTCCGCCGTGACCTCCTGTCCCATCGTGGCCTCCTGGGTCATGGAGGGCAGGGTCGCTAACTGCAGGAATGTGTCTATGCGGGTGCATAGGGGCTCTGAATTGGTTTGAGGGTGTCGCGTATGGTTATATAGTTTGGTGTAATAATCTTGGAAGATGTTACCTATGCGAGTTGGGTCATTGCTAATGACGCCTTCTGTGGTGCGTATAGCCGAGATCCGTTTGGACTCTATTCGGTGTTTGAGTCGGCGGGCCAGCATAGTGTCCGCCTTGTTCCCTTTTTCGTAGAACGTCCGCTTTAGCCACATCAGGGCCTTAGAGGTGTCTTGTTGTGTGAGGGTTTTGAGCAGGTCCCGAATGGCTGTCAGTTTAGTTAGCGTGGTGGGGTGGGGGTTCTTTTTATGTAGGGTTTCTAGGCGGCGGAGTTCCGTCATTGCGTCAGAGATTTGCTGTTGTGTGTGTGTGTTTTTTTTTTTTTTGTGTGTGAGGCAAGGCCGATGAGAGTACCTCTGATGACCGCTTTATGTGCGGCCCATATCATAGCAGGCGCGGTGTCGGCCTGTGTGTTTAGATCAAAGTACTCTTTCAGCTCTTTAGCTATTTTGTCGGTGATTGATTTGTCATGCAGGAGGAGAGGGTTCAGCCTCCATGACCATTGTCTATAAATCAATGGTAGAGCGAGGGTGATAGCTATGTCCGCATGATCGGACCATGATATAGAGCCGATTTCCGATTTTGGTGATTTGTGGTACTAGGTTAGGGGCCACAAGGAAGTGGTCTATGCGTGAATACGTGCTGTGCGGGTGGGAGTAAAACGTATAGTCTTTGGTTGTCGGATGTTGTGCCCTCCATATGTCGATCAGGTTTTGTGAGGTTAGGAATTGGTGGAATAGGGAGTCATTCTGCGACGGGCGCGAACGTGCCGTGGCAGTAGAGGTCCTGTCAGTGGCTGGGGTGTGGACTGCGTTGCAGTCACCCCCTACCACGAGACGCACAGTTGAGTAAGTGTTGAGGTGTGTGGTCAGTTGTTGCCAGAATTAGGTATCTGGTATCGTAGGTGCGTAGATCGAGGAGAAGGCGTAGGTTGTAGTGCCCACTTTCCCCTGTATTGTTACGTAGCGTCCCTGGGGGTCCCTGTTGCATACCACGTCTGAGAGGAGGCAATTGGCTCTCAGAATAATTGCCACTCCTTTCGTTTTGGAGTCTGGGGAGAGAGCCATATAGCTCTTCGGGTAATATCTGTTGGTGAGGGGGAAGGCGCGTTGGGCCGTGAAATGGGTTTCTTGAATAAGTAGGATGTCTATGTTTTGTTTGTGTGCCCATCTTAGTATGCCATGTCTCTTGGCGGGAGAGTTCAACCCTTTAGCGTTGATGGAGACGCACCGTAAGTGGACAGGCATGGTGTCGTTGATCTATCGCTAAGGCTCGGGGGTGGGGTGTGGGAGTATAATGGGGCCGCGCTCCCGGGCGGTCCAAGGCCACGGGGATGGGGTAAGTGGGATGGGTGTCGGGGTTCTTGTCGATGGGAGAGGCGGATTCCGGAAGGGTTTTGGGGGTGAGGGTTGAATGTTAGGAGGGGTGATCCGCTGGGCTTATATTGTTGCCAGCAGTATACGGGGTGAGCGTCTATCCGCTCGGTGGGTGTTCGTACCCTAGTGGTGTCGTGTTATCAGGGGTTGGCAAACTCTCCAACAGATAGTGTGGGCGTGTTGTGCGCCCTTCCTGATGGGTTGCTATCCTTATAGCTATGGGCTTAGTGCCTTTGGTGTGGAGGGAGGCCGTGGGGCCCGCCGGCCCCCCGGGTAAGACCCGTGTCCCTCAGTGTGCTTGCTTATACGTTTATAAGTTCCCTGGGAGCCTGCGGCCGGCCTACCGGGCGTGTATTCATCTGTCTGATGCCCTCCCAAGCGTTGGTGTCCAGGGCCGGGGTCAGCAGCCCTATATAGGTGGTAGCTTGTGTTTGGTTCTGTGACGAGACCAATCTCGCCACATTGCATTGGAGAAGCCTGGTTGCTCGCCTGCTGCCTTTGGACTATGGCCCCCTTTTAAAAGACTTTATTTTTGCCTGCAGAAAAGCTATATTCGTGCTTTTCTGCCGGTTGTTCGGTAGTTTCAATCTACCGAACAACCGTACGAATGACTGGACCACCTGGGAGCTGGAGTGTGCCGGCAATTAACCTCCCTGAAGCTGCGGTTAACCGCAGCTTAATTGAATGCTGGGTGGCCGCCATTCGTATCCCGAACACGAGGTCGCGGCCATTTTAAACCATACGAATGAACAGCGGTGTTCGCCTCTATTTTCACGGAACTAAAATCGGACACTGTTTTGCGCGAACACCGCTGAAGCCGCCGACCTCCCTTCTTGTTCGGTGAAAGTGCACGAACGGCCCGGTGTTCGGTATTTTTGTTCAAATATGTTATACCCCAGATAGGAGCCCATTCGTATGAAACTGACTGTAAAGACTTTGGCTCCATGGCGATTAAACTGTATTCGTGTGGTCTGAGTGCCATTCACTTAATAATGTGCACTCAGACCTGAGCTATCTGGGGATATGTTACATGTCTGTGTTTTGTGGAATAAATGTTACTTTGTGTGAAACTGACTGTAAAGACTTTGGCTCCATGGCGATTAAACTGTATTCGTGTGGTCTGAGTGCCATTCACTTAATAATGTGCACTCAGACCTGAGCTATCTGGGGATATGTTACATGTCTGTGTTTTGTGGAATAAATGTTACTTTGTGTATTTTAAAGTATAATGCTGGTTTTGTGTCCCCACGTGTGTAATGGAGTTTTACCTTTGTCTTGGGAGATAATTGAGTTACTTCCCAATTATCTCCCAGGGCAGAGGGGAGGAAGCCAGGATGCATTGTGGGAGATACTGTGACTGTGTGTCCTATTTGTCTAATTGTCTGTCCCTTGTCACAGTCTCCCATTTGGTCCCCTAGGGGAGTGTCCACCAGGTGGGAGACCTGCATAAAAGCCAGGCAGGTAGCCCTCATTAAACAGACCACTGCTTGACCCTCAACACGGAGCTCTGTCTCGTCTTTGGGGGATTTACTGTATGCTGCTAAGGACTGATTGCCAGGAGTGTAAGCCGCTTGGGAGCTTTTCCTGTTCGTCTGCTAGCAGCTATTCGTATGGTTCCTGTTCGTTTATTTGAAGTGCTACCTTATTCCCTTGTATGCCGTTCGGGAGTTTGGGAGCATTCACTTATTGGCGGTTCGTGAGTTTTGGTGATTCTACAGTAGCTGTGCCTGTCTCTGAAAGGGGGATTATCGTCTAAGCGTTTTTTTTCCCCTTTTGTGCAAAACGGTCCGTTACAAGTTCCTTTGGGGTGTGTAGGATTGGCGGGTTCCCATGGTTACAGTGGCTGGCTAATGTGGGTTCATACGGGCGTCCAGTGGTAGGGTCTCCCACGGTTGGGCCCAGAGGCCCCGGTGGTTACCTGTTTTGTTATTTTTTATTTATTTTTTATATTTTTTTTGGTTTTGTGTTTTCCCTCCCTTTTCCTCCCCCCCCCTCCCTTTCTCCTTTTTTGTCCCCCCTCTTCCCCCCCCCCTCCCCCCCCTGCGTGGGCTCCCTTGCATTATACATCTGTAAAAGTAGAGCTAAAGGGTAAAGTTGGCACATGCGACATAAGATTGCCACACAATTAGGCCTGTGTAGTGTAAAGTCATATCTTATCTGGTTCTGGGCGGCATGTGGTTAGACAGTTCATAGTCTCCTGGCGTTCGAGTCCGTGGGTTCGGTAGTCTGTAAGGTGTGTTTTCCGTTGTCCTGGCGGCGAGGTGTGGGTGAGGGTTGTGTTGGAGGTGGTAGTCCATGGCGTGGTCATCTGGTCATCTTTAGGTGGCCGGTTGAGAGCTGCTGGGAGTTGGAGCTCTAGTCGGGTGCGGTGTTGGGCCCCTGGGAGAAGGCCTTCCTGCTGGGCGTCTGTCAGGTTGCTCGGCGGTGAGGTCAATGGCCGGAAGGCCCAGGCGTTCCGCGAATTCTGTGGCTTCAGAGATGTGGTACAGAGTATGTACCCGGTTGTGTTGTCTGACTTGTAGCTTGAAGGGGTGGCCCCACGTGTATCGTATGTGTCTCCTGGCCAATTCCAAGGTTAGGGGTCTAAGTTCCCTTCTCTTGCGTAGTGTGCAAGAAATAGACTTGATGCCCCTCTATCTGGAGTGGGGTGTCTCTCGCAGCTCTCATCAGCGCCTCTTTAATATGAAAATAATGCATGCTGATAATGATATCCCTGGGCTGGGTTGCGTTCGGGAGAGGGGCTTTTAGGGCCCTGTGGGCTCTGTCTAATAGGAGTTCGGCCGGTGAGGCCTCCGGGAGTAGGCTGCAGAAAAGCTCTCTCAGAGTGGAGGCCAGCGTGTCTATTCCAACCGTCCATGGCACCCCGCGAATTCGTATGTTGTTACGGCGGGAGCGGTTGTTAAGGTCTTCTTGGGCCTCTTCCAGCAGGCGTACCTGGTCTTGTAATGCTGGGATGGCAGTCTCATTCGTCTGTGACCGCATGGAGGTGCGGTCTAGCTGATCTTCAATGGCGGTAGTTCTGCGTGTAAGATCGTTTAGGCTGTCCGTGATGGGTGCCAGGTGTCTGGAGAACTCTGTAGCCATGTTCATTTTAATCTCCTGCAGTAGGTGCCGGAGGTCCGCTTTTGTGAGAGGTGTCTCGGCCGCCATGCGGCTAGTCTCGCTTGCCGCCGAGTCTGAGTCCTCATCGCGGCCATCTTCCCCACGTAAGGAGCTCTCCTCCCTGCGGGCGCGAAAGATTGGCGCTACCTCCGCGCCATGCTTGGTCTTGCGTCCTCCTCCCATGTCGGTTCGGTGGAGTGCCGTGGCCGGGATGCTTGGGACCGAGTGTGCTGCCCGTTTGTCGGGTATACATGCGGTTGTTTGCTTATATTGTGCCTGCCGGTACGGAGCTCTAGCAGAAAGCAGCCATCCACACCGGAAGTCAGGTGCCGCCCTCAATATACACTTTTAATTTCTTTTTAGCCCAAAATGTCTGTTGATCTAAATATTCTGACATACCCCAAATTTTGATAATGTCTCAGAGGGTGGGTTTTGTAGACAAAGCTGATAAGAATAAAAGGATTCCATGGGGGAATTCTGGACTTAGTTTAGGCTTAAACTGAAGAATGGCTCTCATGAATCTAACACAATGACCACTTCAGTGTGGTTCATGGAGTCTGCATGTGCAGTGTTTCTCATTGAGACGCTGCACAGAGAATTTATCCCCTCTGCTGGCTAATATAAATAACAAGCAAATTTCTATGAACGGAATTGTATTCATTGGCTGATAGCAGTCACCAGCACTGGAGGACATTTGGTTACTGCCATGAACCCAGGCAAGTGGACAAACCATTGCAATATGGTTTGCTCTATTACTGTATAATGGGGCAAGTGTATTCTGTGACAGATTCATCTGCATTGTTGGTTCGTCTGTTCCCCTTTGTTCGCGGAATTGCCTGTTCATATACCCCCGTTCGTGTATTTGCAAAATGCCGATTGAAACTACCGAACGAACGGCCACCCAGGAGAGGAGTGTGCTGCTGGTTAACCTCTTGGCCCCAATTAGAGCGTTGTGGTTAACCGCAGACACCTCTCCATTCCATTCGTACGGGTGGTCGTCGTTCGCATGTCGACCACGAGGCAGCGGCCATTTTGGGACATACGAACACATAGCGGTGTTCGGTACAAACTGTATGGAACTAAAAACGGACACTTAAACTACCGAACACCGCTGAAAAGCTGCTGCCTACCTTCCGTTTCGACAAGGCATGCGAACGTCGGTCGTTCGGGAGTTTTATTCAGTCGTATGGACTTTTACCCCGACAGCCATCCCATGGAGTCATTCGTATACCGAAGGACTGGTGAAAGACTTTGACTCCATGGCGATTCGACTAGATACATCGGATCTGAGCGCTATTCGGTGAAAACATGCCCTCAGATCCAGGCTGTCTGGGGATACGTTACACGAACCATATGCATTCGGTATTTCTGTAGTTATGTATTTTAATGTCTTTTTGTTACTGTAATTTAAGATGGCGATGGTCTCTACCTTGGGAGATAATTAGGTTTCTTCCCCAATTATCTCCAAGGTAAAGAAGACGGAATTATGGGCAAGATGGGAAGGGCTATTATTGAAGCCACTGCGATTGGCTACTGTCCAATATATGTTACAGTCTTCCACAAGGTCCCCTCGGGGAGTGTCCACCTTGTGGAGACCTGCATAAATACCGGGCAGGTAGCCCCCATTAAACAGATCTTCATTTGACCCTCAAGACGGAGCTTGGTCTCGTTTGTGGGGGGAATTATTACTGGGACAGCGCTTTCGTTATTTCTAGCTGTGGAAGGCGTTCGACTGTTTGGCTGATCGGGAGTTGCCGTGTTCGTGGACTTCGTTCGGGAGTTTGGCGATCGGCTGGATTTAAACTGCATTTCTGGAGAAGGGGATTATTGCCTAAACGGCGGCTTCATCTACCCGACGGTACGTGTCGTAACAATTGGTGGCAAGCGACGGGATGAATCCTACAGCCCAGAAGGCCAGCTACACATCCCAAGTTGGAAATGCAGTATGAGGAGTTAAGGCGTGCTACCCTTAAAGATATATTGGAGCGCAGAGGACGATCAGCGAGTAATCTCAAGAAAAGAGAGATTATTTCGATACTATTGGAAATGGATGCAGCACAGGGAGCGGGGGGAGCGAATGTGCCTGGCATACTGGAGTTAACACCCGAGGAGATACAGTTTAACCGGGCAGTTCAGATCAGGCTGGCACATTTTGGCCCCAACCCCGCAGCAGATATTGTGGTGCAAGTGCAAGCAGCAGTAGCAGCACAACAGGCGCTTCAAGGAAGAGGCGCTGCAGCAGCTGAGGTACCTTACAATAATAATAATGGAAGGAGAAAAGTACCTTTTGCTGCATTTCGGAACTTTGTAGAAGCCGAAGGAGAAATCGATGGGTTCCTGGCGGATTTTGAAAGGCAATGTGCCTTACACCAGGTACCCGCAGGAGAATGGGTCCCCATCCTCTCTGGGAAGTTATCCGGCCGGGCCAGTGAGGCGTTTCGGGCCATCCCAGAGGAGGAACTTACCAGCTACAGGGCAGTGAAAGATGCCCTTTTGGCCAGATATGCTGTGACCCCGGAGGCATACCGGCGGCGATTCCGGGACACTAACAAGCAGGCTGGTGATTCTTATGTTGAGTGGGCATGCCGAGTACACCGCACCGCAGCCCACTGGATGGCAGGGTGCCAAGCAGTAACTGGGGAAGAGGTGCTGCAAGTGTTTTGTTGGAGCACTGTTTTGACCGCTTACCCGTAGGAGTCAGAGAGTGGGTTAGGGACCGCAAACCCGCTACCTTACCTGAAGCTGCTCGTCTGGCTGATGAGTACACTGATGCCAGGAAACTGGACCAGACAGCAGCCAAGGTCCCTACCCGAGTGGAGTACAAACCAGCAGCCCCTCCAACCTCTGCAGTGTATCAACACCCAGCACAACGCACCCCCACCATGCCAACAGCGAACAATTACGTTCAGCCAGCCCGGTTCAACGCCCGGGATTACTCACAGCCGATCCGTTGCTATGGGTGTAAGCAGTTGGGGCACAAGCGACCCGAGTGCCCATTAAACAATTCGAGCCAAGCACAGTCGTGGAGAAGACCAGCCGGCGGAAATCAGCAGCCACCCCAACCTTCCGCTCACTGTCTGGAGCAGGAGGAATTTTGGGGTATATTACATGAGGCGGATCCGGTCCAAGCAGCGCAGCAGGATAACCGTCAACAGCACAGGCAGACCGTTAAACTAAATGGCAAAGCGGTAACTGGACTGAGAGACACCGGAGCCACTATGACTTTGCTCCAAAAGAACCTTGTGTCCGAACACCAACACACTGGAGATACTGTGGCAGTGAGGGTGGCGGGAGGTGCAGTGTTCCGTTTACCGGTTGCCCGGGTTCACTTGGATTGGGGGGTGGGCTCTGGACACGTGAATGTGGGGGTCATGAAAGACTTACCGGCCGATGTTTTACTTGGGAATGACTTGGCCCCTTTGGTGTCCGCCTATGCTCCAATGGGACCTGCCGCTATCAACCCAGTGACTACCCGTGCCCAGACCCGTGCTGCTGGAACCAGCCCACCTGCTGCTGAGACCCAGGTAAGGACCGAGTCCCCGACTGGTACCCTAGGACCGACCTTTGTTAACTGGGATTCCCCAGAGGAGTTTGGGAGGGAAACTCAGGCAGATTCGACCCTCCAGAAGTATAGGGACAGAGCAGATACTGGAGAGGAAGGATTAGATGGGGAGCGGTATGAGTGGGTGGGGGACAGGTTGTATAGGATCCCCAAGCTTTCCCCGAAGAGTGTTGCCCCTCCGCCGAATCGACAGCTGGTGGTGCCCGCAAAATACCGGCAGGAGATTCTGCGGATAGGGCATGATGTTCCGTTAGCTGGACATCTAGGTTCTCGCCGCACAGCCTATAGGATCATGCAGAACTTTTTTTGGCCAAACTTCAATCAGGCTGTGCGGACATACTGCAGTACGTGTGACACATGTCAACGGATAGGAAAGCGGGGGGACCACCCAAGAGCTAGGCTTATGTCTATGCCTATCATTGGGGAGCCCTTTGCCCGCATAGCCGTTGACATTGTGGGTCCACTGGCCAGGGCTAGTCCATCCGGGAAGAAATATATTCTCACCGTGGTGGATTATGCCACTCGCTATCCAGAGGCAGTAGCGCTGTCTAATATAGAGGCAGAGACAGTTGCTGATGCCCTGGTTAGGATTTTTACCAGAGTCGGGTTCCCTCAAGAGATCCTCTCTGACCAGGGAACCCAATTCACCGCTGTGCTCACCCAGCAACTGTGGAAGGTGTGCGGTATTAAACCGCTGCTTAGCTCACCTTACCATCCACAGACTAACGGTCTCTGCGAGCGATTTAATGGCACCCTCAAACAGATGCTGAGGACCTTTTCTGACACTTGCAGAGACTGGGAGCGATTCCTGCCTCATCTGTTGTTTGCCTACAGAGAGGTGCCTCAGGAATCTACTGGGTTCTCCCCCTTTGAGTTGCTATATGGGAGAAGGGTCCGCGGACCCCTAGATCTCATTAGAGGCCACTGGGAGGGGGAGACAGAGCAGGAAGGGACCCCCATAGTACCATATGTTCTGGAACTCCGGGACCGCATGGAGAAACTGTCCCTAATGGTAAGGGAGAATCTCCAGGTGGCTCAGGGGAGACAGAAGAGGTGGTACGATCGGGGTGCCCGACAGCGAGTTTTCCAGGTTGGGCAGAAGGTACTAGTGCTCAAACCTGTGAAGGCGAACAAGATGCAGGCATCTTGGCAGGGCCCGTATAAGGTGTTAGCACAGGTATGTGATACTACCTACCTTATAGCCAGCTGTTCAGATGAAAGGATCCAGCGATCCTTCCATGTGAACATGCTAAAGGAGTATCAGGAGAGACCGGAGAATGTCGCTGCAGTATGTGCCCCTGCTGCAGATGATACAGAAAGTTTACCCTTGCCAGACCTGTTAGAGAGGGACCCCCAGACGGATCTTACTAGCCTAGTACAGCTAGGGGACAGATTGAGCGCTACCGAGAAGGGCCAGGCAAGACAGCTTTTGTGGGAAAAGCAGGCGACCTTCTCCCAAGAACCTGGTTACACTACCCTAGCTGTA